CTCCCTCCACCTCCCTCCACCTCCCTCCACCTCCCTCCACCTCCCTCCACCTCCCTCCACCTCCCTCCACCTCCCTCCACCTCCCTCCACCTCCCTCCACCTCCCTCCACCTCCCTCCACCTCCCTCCACCTCCCTCCACCTCCCTCCACCTCCCTCCACCTCCCTCCACCTCCCTCCACCTCCCTCTACCTCAGGCGCGGACCCCCACCGCGCCTCGCTCGACGGCGCCACGGCGCGCGCCACCGCGGAGCGCGCGCTCGCGTCGCTGCGCGAGAAGATCATCAAGCTCTCCGCACGGAACACCGCGGCGGCAACCTCCGCGATCAACGAGATCGCGCTGAGCGGCTCGCCCGCCCCGTCGGCAGCGGACGTCCAGCGCGCAATCTCGCGCACCACGCGGCGCGAGGAGGCGCAGAGCGGCTGCGAGCTGCTGCGCCGGCTGCAGGAGACCGCGCCAGCCTCCCCGAGGCTGAGCTGTGAACGGCGTCTTCTTCACGCCGGCTGCTGTGAAAGCAGGAGACTGTGCACCTCCTCGAGGCTGCGGAGCGCCGCCCGCGCCCCCTCCCCCGCCCCGAGGGCTTGGAGGAGGAGGTCGAGGCTGCGCCGCCCGACGCGAGCCAGCACGCCGCCAGCCAGCACGCCGCCGCCCCCGCCGGCGTTGACGTAGAGCTTGCGCCGGCCGGCCTCGGCAGCGGGGCGGCCTCCAGCAGCGAGAATGGCGGTGGAAGCGGAAGCGGCGAAGGCGGAGGAGGCGGCGGCAGCGGCGGAGGCGGAGGAGGTGGCGGCGGCGGTGGAGGCGGCGGCGGTGGAGGCGGCGGCGGTGGAGGCGGCGGCGGCGGGAGCGGGAGCGGCGGAGGGAGCGGCGGCGAGGAGAACGACTCGTCCTCGGAGGCGGCTTCGGACGAGGAGGTCGAGGAGGAGTTGGACTAAGGTGTTGCTGTTTTGCATGTACTCTTGAGTTAGTGAGAACTGGCAATGAACAGGGGTCGAGGTTGAGTTTGAGGAGGGGGTTGGCTAGCGCGGGTGGGTTCCATTTGTGACCGTTTGGGGTTGCTGCAGCGATGGCAGGTTGCTGTCAATATCATCTCTGATAATTTAGGGCTGAGGCCGCGAGCCGTGGCGTGTGGCCAGGAAGTTGGTTCTAGGAGTTTTTTAGAGCAGACGCTCCACAGACGACACAGAGCAGTGAGACCACACACACAGTGATCAGTGCTTTTCTTAATTCGCAATAATCACTACTTACACGGCTGTTTGAGGCCGCTGTTGCCCGCAAACGCCATACGCATTGCCGCCGTTCTTGTCGAGCCACACGATGCCGCTGGACGGGCTGGCGGCAGTGGCGCGCTTCTTGAGCTTGCGCCACGCCGAGCAGAACTCGCCCGCGCGTGCCGCTGGCGCAACGACGGCGATGTCCGCGACCTTCCCTGCTACCGAATAGCGCGCGCCCGGGATGTCCAGCGCGAGCGCGTGCCCCATAGCCGCCTCAATCTCGGGCGGGTACTTGCCGCGGAACCCGGGCGTGGCGTGGCTCAGGTTCGCACCAAACCGAGGCATCGTGCGGTAGACGCAAACGCGGGAGAAGCAGGCGGAGCCGGGAGGGCAGCACGCGAGGAAGGCGACGGAGGGGAACCGGTTGATCGGGATGTGAAAGTACTCCAGCACCCTCCTCACTAGGTTCTCGTCTTGCAGGGTGAGGCCGTTTGTCACCTTGCCATTGCGGAGCTGCGGGTCGATCCAGAAGATCGAGCCGTCCATCAAGTACTCCCAGCGCCGCATGTACAGCCCCGCCGCCTCTCGGCTCAGCACGGCGTGTCGGTCGTTGACGCCGCCGTAGTAGTCTTCGCCGCCCGGCAGCCACGCAGAATCCGAGTCGAGCATCGAGAGAGGCGGGTGTGGTCTGAGCCAGTGAAACTCGAGCCGCGAGTGCACCAGGCGCGTGAAGCGGCGGCCGGTATCAGCCTCCCGCGAGACGGCGAGGCGCAAGCAGCGCGAGATGTCGTGCAGCTGCCGCAACACATTGAGACGGTCCGAGCCGAGCACGGGCGCAAAGACGGTGTTGCCGAGGTAGATGTTTTGGCACTTGTACGGCGTGCGATTTAAGGCGGGGCTCCAGACCAGGCTGCGGGTGCACGAGACGGGGTGGTGAGCGTCCTGGTTCTGAATGGCGCTGTTGTACGCCTTCATCACTCGCGGCCAGTGCGGCAGCGATTCCATCTCCGTCACGAGCGACGAGAGCGAGAACATTTGCGTCAATGACACTGCACCGACCGGCTTTAGGTGGGGCATGCGAGCCCCGACACACCGTGCGGCTTGGCTGCAGTCATCGGAGGGCTTCTTGGTCAGAGCCAGGAGCGCCTCCGCTCCGAGTGGCGCGAGCAGCATCTTGGAGATTGGCGCGCCGCCATCCACAACCTTCACCCCAACCCACCCCGAGAGGCAAACCGCCGCCGACTCTGCAGCCGGGGGAGCGCGTCGCCGTGTCCTGCGGCAGTGCTGCAGCAGGGCGCCACGCGCGATCGTCGCCGCCAGAGACAGGCCATGTGGTGATAGCTCCCATTTTGACCGCGGACCTGACTGGCCAATTCGCTCCCAGTGGTTCGTAGTCATAGCCGTGGCAAAGTCCAAGAGAGGCACATATGATCGCAACGCCATCTGGCGGACCACATTCAGCAGCTTGTCCGACCGGCCCTCGCCGCCGGGTGCAAACGTGCCAAAGAGGACGCGCGTCGGCATCCACTCTGGAAGTTTCTTTTTCGGAATGGGACGATTCTTCTTCTCTTTAGAATTCTTCTCCTTTGCGTCCTCGGGGCTCGGGTTCAAGATCTTGAAGCGTTCGATGGATCGCTCAGCCAACTCCGCTGCGCTACTCGCCGCTTCGGAGCCAAGCACGTCCCACGGCGGAACGAGGACGAGAACCACCTTCTCCGATTTATTCACTTCGTGCAGCCATCGCACAGAGGAGGAATGAACACGGATGCGGCTGCCCTCCTCCTCGCCGAGCGAGTGGCGGAACTCGGATCGGAGAGCTGAGGCGAGTGGAGCTGCCACTGCGTGTGAATTGCCAAGCTCGACAATCTCGACGTTCCGCGAGCCCCATAGGCACGCCACCATGTCGACACACGCAAGAGATGAGGCAACGGCGGCGGGCCCGCGGACACGCACGTGCATGCAGTGAATGCAGATGAATACGGTCGAATACAGTTGAATGCAGCGCCACTTGAAATACACGAAGTGTGGATTCAGCTTCTACGACAATCAGCCTCGGCCCGTGCAGGTCTGGTTGCAAAGCGTGTATGGCACACCTTCAGCTTGGACACCAATCTCAGCGCAAGCGGCGACCGCCTCGCCGAAAGTCCGCTTGGTGATGCCGGGCGGCTGCCCAGAGATGCAAGCCGTGCCCACGATGCGCACGCACGCTTCCGCGCCCGCTACGTCGGGCTTACAGCACTGAGTGGCAATCCGTTTAAGTGCTCCGTCAATCTCTGCTCGAACGGTACCCTCGTCGCCTGGGAAGAGGCAGGAGAGCTTGCCAGTCTTCGCGCTCAGGACCTGAACGCCCGCGCTTGGAATCTGCCCACTAACCTGAACGAGCGTGACCAGCGGGAGAAGGAGATTACCCATTATGGGTCACAAGCAACAGGACAGCCACGTCCGCGGCCGTCCGTCCGCGGCTCGCTAATTGCTCCAAAGTTTCCGCCTTTCTTTTTTGTAATCGCCGACTGACCACGGGCAGGGGACAGATGTGGCTGAGGGGCGCATTGGGGCGACCCCGACTCGCGTTATTATGCTTGAGACACTTGCAGGCGTCGTACGACGGCGCCACCGGAACGCCCACATGATCGCGCCGGACGACACGCCGGACGCGCGAGTTGACACGATTTACAACGAGGCGCGCCGAGCTCTAATCCGGACTTACGCCCACACCCGCCGCCGAGCTCTCGATGAGGAAAAGGCGATTCGTCTCCGAATCCCGGGCTGGCAGCCGTCGCCAGGAGAGGGGCCTGTCGCGGAGTGGGAGACGGAGTGGCTCGCCTCAGGTTTCTTTTCCAGCGAAGGCGAGTGCGAGCTCCCCGAGAAGTCAAAAGGTCCTCACAGCGCATCTCCGAGCCCTGCGTGGAGCCCTGCTGGCTGGGCTGGGACGCGGCCATGTGGGTTCCGTCGGTGTGAGGAACCCGCTCCAAACTCCCTCGATCTAGCAGCGGGGGTGTGGCGGCGAGTGACGACATGCTAACGCTGAGTGACCTCAGGTATATAATCGTGAGTGTTCATAGATTATGAAATACTTTATTATGTGAGATGCATCTCTGCACGGGTGCTAGACTGTGATCGCACGCTGTGAATAAGTCGTGATTTCTCTAGGTCATGGTTTTACATTGACAGGTAATCTCGGGTCACCAAAATGCTCTCGGCTAGATCTCGCGCACGTAGCCGTCCCGCCAGTCGTACTTCCCGCACGACACTGGGCACGGGACTAGCGCGCACTGGCCCTAACAAAATAAAAGAACGTCCGAGAGATGTTGCATGGTGACTTTGGCCTCTACCTGCACCGAAAGAGGCTACAGTCTTTCTGCTCATTTGCCTCATCGGTGGTTAGGGATCCCTAGTCTCCCTCGCACGCGCGAAGGTTACCATCTTTTCCGGCCAGTCCCAAAGGCCGTGTCTTTCCCCCTCTGACCCACAGACCCTCCCTCGCCCTCCCCGCATCTTCCATGCCGCATTGCTTCCCCTTTTTTTCTTTGCTGAGCGCTGCGGGGCCGAGGTCCTCACTGCAGGCGCTGTGCAGGCGAGGTCCTCATTCCGCAAAAGAGGCCTGCGTGTGGATTCGAAGCGACCTCTCACTCGCTCCAACCGTACCCCAGCCCGTGTATTCCTTCCTGTCGGCTGGGCTGGACGCGGCCGTGGTTTGTGTCGCGAGGAGCCCGCCCCCACCTTACTCCCTCCATATATCTAGCAGCGGGAGCGAGGCGGCAGCATTCCTCTTTCAGTTTGACAGTTGCTGCCGCCGTGTTGTGCATAATTGCGATAACATGCAATGTGGTTATTCGAGTGGTTATGTAGGTATGCGACCAGCCCATCGCGTGGTACGGGACCACGATTTACTTAGTATTTTCACTGTGAATCCAAGTCATCACACTGCTTGACGCACTCAATTGGTGAGCGGCGGCGGTGGAGCGGCGGCGGTGGAGCGGCGGCGGTGGAGCGGCGGCGGTGGAGCGGCGGCGGTGGAGCGGCGGCGGTGGAGCGGCGGCGGTGGAGCGGCGGCGAACGAGGCGCGGCGAACGAGGCGCGGCGCCGAGGCGCCGTTCACAGCGTTCGCGCGTCGCGCGTGTCCGCGGCCGGCGGGGCGGGCCGGCGGGGCGGGACAGGATGCGAAAGGATCGAACTCCCATTTCCGCCCCGCTTTTTTATCTCGCCGAAGCCGCTGTGCTTTTCGGCCTTTGGCCGACCCGCTCGCTCTGCACCATATGCGCTCCTATCGAATGACCAAGCTCGGGGCGGCCGCTGGAGCCGCCCGGCCGCTTCCCCTGAAGCAGCTCCGCGCTCCTGCCGCACGCGCGGTGCAAAGAGGCTCTCCGCCGTGCTTGTGCGGCCAAGTGCGCTTCTCTTCCATCATCACGGGCGGTGGCAGCGGTGGCAGCGGCGGCGCGGCCGGCGGGAAGCCGTTCGCCTGCCCGCGGTGCGCGGTGCCGCTCACCAAGTTTTGGCAGCAGGACCAGCCGCTGTGGGGCTGCGTCGACTGCCGCGAAATCTACTCGCAGCGCGACAGCGGCGGCCTCGCCTCGCGGCTGCCGCGCTCGTGGTCGCGCGCCGCCGCAACGACGTCGGAGCCGGCGGCGGAGGCGGCGACCGGCGGCGAGGGCGGCGCGCGCTTCGAGCTCGGCCACCTCCCCCCTCCGGCGGCCATCAAGGCGGAGCTGGACAAGTACGTCATCGGGCAAGACGACGTCAAGCGCGCGCTCGCCGTAGCCATGTACAACCACTACAAGCGAGTTCGCATCAGCGGCCACGCCGAGGCCGCCCCGCCCGCCGCCGCCCCGCCCGCCGCCCCGCCCGCCGCCGCCGCCGCCGCCGCTGACGCCACGGCACCGTGGGCCGACCTTGCGGGCGCGGAGCAGGCGGCGGCGGGCGGCGGCGCCGCTGCCGGCATGTTCGAGGCGGGTGGCGGGCCCACAGGGTGCGGGGAGGGGTTGGCGGCGGAGTGGGAGGGGGCGGAGCCGCTGGTCGGCCTCGAGCGCGGCGAGGGCGAGGGGCTCGAGATGGACAAGTCCAACATCATGCTCGTTGGGCCGACTGGGTCGGGCAAGACGCTGCTCGCACGGACGCTGGCGCGGCTGGTCGACGTCCCCTTCACCATCGCCGACGCGACCAGCCTCACCCAGGCGGGGTACGTCGGGGAGGACGTCGAGTCGGTGCTGCACAAGCTGTACGTCGCCAGCGGGCAGAACGTGGAGGCGACGCAGCTCGGCATCGTGTACCTCGACGAGGTGGACAAGGTGGCGCGCAAGGCGGACGCCATCGCGATGACGCGCGACGTGAGCGGCGAGGGCGTGCAGCAGGCCCTGCTCAAAATGCTCGAGGGCTCTGTCGTCAACGTGCCGGAGAAGGGCGGCCGCAAGAACCCTCGCGGCGAGTACGTGGCCATCGACACGTCCAACATCCTCTTTATCTGCGGCGGCGCCTTCTCGGGCATGCAGGCGGTCGTCGAGGAGCGGATGCGCACAAAGGTGACCCACATCGGCTTCCAGGCAGAGGTGAAGGGCGGGGCGGCGGAGGCGGCGCCGGCGAAGGACGCGCCCAAGGGTGTCGCGGGCACGCCGCCCGTTCTGGTGGAGGACCTGATCGCGTACGGCTTCCTGCCCGAGTTTGTGGGCCGCTTCCCTGTGACGACGCAGCTGCACGAGCTCACCGAGGCGCAGATGGTGGAGGTGATGTCGCGGCCTCGCAACGCGCTGCTCAAGCAGTACTCGGCGCTGTTCGCCGCGGACCAGGTGCAGCTGCACGTGACGCAAGGCGCGCTGCACGCCATCGCGAGGCTCTTCTATTCACAGCTCTTCTATTCACAGCTCTTCTATTCACAGGCGCGCTGCACGCCATTGCGAGGCGCGCAAGGCAGTCCGCCACGGGGGCGCGCGGGCTGCGCTCGATTGTGGAGGCCGTGCTCCTCGACTCGATGTTCGAGCTGCCGGGGTGGAGGACCGCCGGCGTCCACCACGCCGTCCTGACGGCGGCCACCGTCGAGCAGGGCGCGTCGCTCGACTTGTGGCCGCTCGCCGCGCGGAGAAAGGTCGAGGCCCCCCCCTCTTGCCCCACCACCTCGTGTGTGTGTGGAGAAGTGTACCTCACCTTGCCTCACCTTAGGTCGAGGCGGACGCGGCGAAGAGCGAGGTCGGTGGCTCTACGGACGAAGAGGCGGCCGTCTCCGCCGTCGGCGGTCTCTGAGGCGGCGGCGGCGCACAGAGGCCGTGCGCCGCCGCGGCGGATTGCGCGGGGGCCTAATTCCGGCGGGCCGCGGCGAACTCGGCCGGTGTGGGCGCCCCCCCCCGCCTTGTGGCGGCGCGGCCGTCTGGCGGGAGGAGGAGGGCGGGAGGAGGGCGGCGGCGAGGGCACGTCCCGGGCCGCCGCGGCTCTCGCGCTCGCCGCCCGCCGCTGTACCCTTTCTTGTGTCGAGGTGGCTACGGAGGCGGCCGGCGGTAGCAGCAGTGGCGGCGGCGGCGGCAGCATCAGCGGCAGTGTCGGCGGCAGCGGAGCGGTCGAGTGTCGGAGAAGTCTATACGACGACGTGGCCCGAGAGGGCGCGACGGTTGCGGCGAGGGACGTAGTGGGTCGCGGGGGGCTGGGATTGGAGGCACTGAAACGCATTTCTCCAGGCACACTGGGTTGGGCTTGGGCGTCTGCCTCGACTGTCTGCTGTCTGCCTAGCAGGTTTTCTTTTGGTATGAGAAGAAAGCGTTCTCCGAAGGTGACGCGTGTCACGCTCACGGCAACACACGGATCACGACACGGAAAGAGATTCGTTTTCACAGAACATTACCTGGGAAGATAGGTTTGCCTAACGTTTCGACCTAACATTAATTTGGGGCCTCTAACAGTTGCGCTATTGTTGGGGCTGAAATCCTCAACGTTGTTCAAGTGTTCATCCCAGCCCATGCTGTTACTGTTTGTTACTGCTACCCTCTATGAGATGCCGTCATCACACGCTACGGACTTCTTGTTTTCGCGCTTCGGCAAACGCGAAGAGACGCTGGGTGGTGTGCGCGGGGCGGTCGCGGGGAGTCTTCTCCTCTCACGTGAGCCTGGCACCGTGGATGCGGCTGCTGACTGAGTCAGTCAGCACCACGCAGCGCTCGTTAGCGATAACGCCGGCAAAAACGAGCGCGGTCAGCCAACGAAGCTGGGAGGCAGCGGCGGTGCGACCTCTCTCGAGGTTCTCGAGGTGGATATCCTTTGGCCGCGTTGGGTACGACCGTTTATACAAAAGTGAAAAGAGAATTTTAAAATGCAAACTCCCTCGCACGACACTGGGCACGGGACTGGCTCGAAAAGAGAGAGAGGAGATAAGACAAAAGGACGGGGGCACAAAACCCGGTACAAACGGTGCCACTTGGAGCACTTGGAGTGCAGTTAGCAACCGCACGCCCAGGGCCGGGGAGCTAAGAAGCGCACCCAGAGGCCGGACAATTGCATCGGGTTCTTCACAGCGTAAAACTGGGACGTCGCCTTAATAATCCTTCCCCCTTCCGCCTATTTGTGGCGCGCGCGGCGCGGCTCAGGCCAGGGGCACGATGGTTCCCGCGAGCTCAAACGGCAAGAAGTCGGTCCGCCTCGTCAAGCTGCCTGTGCAGCGGGCAGGCGGGATCGACATGAGCCTGTGGGACTGGCGCGGCGCTCGGTCCGGCGTGCGTGGGCACCTGGGAGCTGCCACCACGCTGGCAACGGAAAACGGGAGGCTCTTGATCGTGGCCCGCTCCGTCTTCTCGTCCATGGAGGCGCTCCTGTCTGCCACTGCCGCAGAGCGGCAGATGATCCGACATTTTGTCAAAGAGAAGCACGTGGGCCATGAGGCAGCGCCGCCGATGCTGTCGCCGACGGCGTCAGCATCGGCGCGCCTCGCCGCAGCGGAGAAGGGGCAGTATAGGAGGCTGTGGAAGCTGGTCCGCCGGTGCTTGTGCTGCTGCTTTCCCCAGCGAGCGGCGCCGCAAGAACTCACCGGCGAAATTGCATGGGAGATGCGAGGCCAGGCAAAGCATTGCGATGGTCCGCTCCCCTGCATCTTGATCTTTGCCGCGCTGGCGCCCTCGTGCGCCCCGAGACTCGTCGACCACGTCCGCTCCGATGCGTTTGAGCAGTCAGTAAGCACCGATCCCTCGATGAAGAAGGTGATCACAGCCGAGCTGATGGTGCTAGAGCAGGCTCCGGGTGGCATGATGAGCAGCCTTCTGGGCGGCTTTCGCAGGAAGCGGGCCGTCTCGGTGCTCCGGCTGACGCTGCGCTGCTCTACCAGAGAGGAGTGGGAGCAGACTGCCAAGGCCGCCATCGAACTGCTTCCCGCCGGACCAGAGGCATCTCCTGCCGCCAGCACTGGCGGCCTCATGCCCGGTCCATTGCGCTGCTTTGCTGTCGAGCCCCAAGCCATCCTGGGGGTCGAGGAGGAGATGGCGAGCAGTCCGACCAGTCGCGCCGAGAGCAGTACGTCTGATCCCGCTGTTGCCAAGCTCATGGCGGCGTTTCGTGAGCGAGCCGCGCGCACGCTCGCAAGGCAGCACGATTGCTAGAGTGGTAGAGAGAGTGACCGTCGGAGTACGCTGAACGCTCGTGGAGAGAGTGAGACTGCGGGAGAGAGGAGTCGGAGAGAGAGCGGAGTGCCCATCTCGCGCTGGTTCCATGCCGCATGCGGCTCGGCCATGCTCGTGGGGAAGCCAATGAGCAACATGACCAATATGTGTACAGAATTGTCACATGATCATGAAACTTGAAAGATTTCAAAAAAAAAGTGGGACGATAAAGTCGAACCTTTTGGGCGCCGGCTAGCGGCAGGGCGTAGCACATCGCAATCTCTCTGCATACCGCAAAACGTCCCCTGGTCGCAGAACACACGCAAAGCCAGAGCGGGGGCGGACACCGTTCGTCGAGTGGTACCGTCTGAGACGGCCCTCAGGCGGTACCCAGCGCGGGAGCCAAATGCACGGCCTCTCCGAGGTCTCGACCTCACAGACTCTGCGTGCGCCGATGCCGCGCGATGCCAGAGCTTCCTGCGGCGGCGCCCGACTGCTCGAGAAGCGGCTCAAAGGGAGGGGCCGTGCGGCGCACCCTCCGGCGAGTGGCGAACGGCCGCATGGCGATCCGCCCGTTGAGCCGCTTCCATTGAGCCGGCGACCCAAATGCAGCCCCCCTGTTGCTCTCGGACTGCAGCTGGCTGGTGCCGCCCCGCCTTCCCGATGCTCCGCTGCCGCCCGCACAGGGGGCTCACTCGCTGTCGTCGTCGTTGATGAAGCCACCCTCGGAGGCGGCGCTTCCCTTCTGCCGCTTCGCAGGCGGCTGTGCCGCCGCCTCGCCCTCCGTCACGGTGTTGGTCGGGTCCTGTTCACGGTCGAGCTGTGAGTTGACGCGGCGCACGGGCTCGGGAGCTATCGGCCGGGTTCTCGGCGGCGACAGGGCGACTTGGCGAGGCGCGGTGACCTCGGGTATCTCGGGTGATCTCGCCTTGCGCAGCGCGGCCAGCACCGCCGCGCGCTGCGAGCCCGGAAAGCACCAGCCGCCGAGGCCCTTGTTCCAGCTTCCCTTGAGCGCCTTGAGCAGCTCCTTGACCTTCTGCGTCTCGCCCGTCACGAGGACGGCCTTCTTGTGCGGCGAGACCGTGAGCACTGCGCCAGCGGCAGCGGAGCAGGAGGCCTCGACTACGGCAGTGGTCGCTGCCGCAGCGGCCTCGGCGCCGGTGCCGGGCGCCTCGGCGCTGTGCGCGATGCCCGCCTTGTCGAGCACCGCGGCAACCTCGTCGCGCCGGTCAGCGGGAATCAGCCAGCCGCCGAGCGGCTTGCTCCAGGCGGCGCCGGCGATGCCCTTCAGCTCGTCCTTCACCTTGAAGGTGTCGCCGCGGCAGAGGAGGAAGGGCTCGAGCGTTGCCTTGGACATCGAGTGTTGGTGAAGAGAGCCCGGGGTTGTGCTTTATGTGAGGGTCGTGGCCGGCGGCAAAATCCGCCGAGCGGTGGAACAAGAATTTTGCAATGCCCTCCCTCGCACAACACTGGTTACTTCCTGTCGTCTGTTGTTTGTTGTGCCCTTGTTTGTTTCTCTTGGCACCTTGGAGTGCTGGGGGGGGCGACAGGAAGAATGTGGCCCTGAGTTATGTGTACGCCAACTCAGGGTGTGTGGCAGCCAGCTGGCTGTGTGTCTTGTGAGCTTGTTTGTGTCTGTCTGTGTGTCGTTCGTGCGTGTCGTCATCATCTGTCCTGCGTCCACCCATACCGCGTTGGTGTCCAGTCCGAGCCTGGCTGTTCTTCACCTTTCTACCTACCTACCTGGTGTGTGTGTGTGTGTGTGTGTCACACTCACACACTCACAACACTGGGCACGGGACTGGCGCGCACTGGCACTGGAACAAGAATTTTACAACCCAACTCCCTCGCACAACACTGGGCACGGGACTGGCGCGCACTGGCACTACAGGTACACCACTGGAGCCGCCTAAGAATTTTACAACATAACTCCCTCGCACAACACTGGGTGGGTTAAAATCCCTGTGTGGTGGCGGCGTGCCGTTCTCCCATCCCTCCCTTGGGTTGTCCGTTTTCTTTCTTTCTTTCTTTACACTGGGTGAGAGTGTGTGTGTGTTATACTCACTCACTCACAACACTGGGCACGGGACTGGCGCGCACTGGCACTAACACAGGTACACCACGGGAGCCGCCATCTCCCCTCCGGCTAGTTCCAATTCACTCTGACACGCTAATCTTGAAAACGCGTCCAACGGAGCTCCGTGTTGCTCCCAGCGGAATCCCCCGCGCTTCCTGCGGCCATGGCCGATGATACTAGTATGAGAGGTCATCTGGCTACCGCGAGCGCGACTCAACTCGCCGACGTCGTCCGATGATTGTGCCGCAAAGTCAGCCTCCGGAGGCTATCGTGGGGTCGAGCCGGCGGTAGCCGTGACATGTGGTTCCACCACCCCTCGCAGGCTTTGCCTCTGACCGCCACCGTTCCCAGGCTGCCTAATGGGATGGAAAGGAAGGCTGGGCGAGCGTATAGAAGCGTGCTCGACCTCGTCGTGGCAACCTGCACGGCAGTGCTGGCAGGCGCGATGAGCGTCGTGCCACCTGACCCAAGACGGGTCGCAGGCGTCGTACCGAGCGTGTCGAGACCGTGTCCTGATGTGATCTGCACGGGTGAGTCACGTCGGCGTCAAAGGAGCGACGTGCGACCTGTCAGAGCTTGATCTCCGATCT